TCAGCAGGAGTGGAAAAAGCAGTGCTGGAGTGAAGCAGTGTATTTTTTGTGTGTGTGAGAGAGAAAGTAGGAAAGTTGATGATTATATTGTCTGGGTATGGCAAGTGAGCTGTTTCTATTAAGCATGTTGAGTATGAAAGTTAGAACCAGTCAAATCAATGCATCCATACCATGCGAAATTCCATCTCAAATTTCTGTGATTTCTACTTCAATATATAGTATGAGACACAAGCACACATGCAAATCCACGCATTCGCAATCAAGTCATTTAAATATGTTGTGCCTTACTGCATTCGTAAATAACACTATAGGGTGAATTTGCATAATCTAAAGTCCAGTTCTTTAACAATATCTCACAGTTAAAATTAACACGCGAATGCTAATATACTCAAGACATCCATCTAAGAGAAAACAGCATTAAAGCTGCAGTATGTAATTTCTGCAACAGTAAACAGAATTGTAATCTGTTTAGTAACACTGACCTCTTTTTAAAAAATAAAATTTTTCATTGTATGAAAAATCCATTGTTTGAAAAACAAAAACACTTGGAAGAGATCGACGTTTTAGGTGATACATAACTCTGTTTGATGCCACTAGTGGTGCAGAAATTCTAAATTGCAATGGTATAGTAGATAAATATCAAGTATGGATGGGATCTTTTGAAAGTCTTTCTTGTGGTTCTTCGAACTACCCGATTTGATAGGAAAAGAAGGACAAGAAAAAACTAAAACGTCATACCCATTTTAAAAGAGGTTATTATGTCAGTGGTGCATATTAACGTAATGTAAGCAATATTTAAATATTACTGACAATATAAGTGACCATAAACTTTAGGACTGCTTCTGTTTAACTTGAATCTAATGAAATGTTCATGACCATGCAGCAGAGCTATATTTCTAAATAGTGTTTTCAGAATACATATGAATATTTTTCTTTCTTTTTTTATCTATATATATTTTTTTTTTTTACCAGTATTAATTATTACTATAAACCTACCACTAGAACAGTGGTTCTTAACCCCCTAAGCCACCCCCCACCCCATTGTCCAACACAATATCTTAAAGGGGTGATATGATGTTGCTAAAAAGAACATTATTTTGTGTATTTGGTGTAATGAAATGTGTTTATGCGGTTTAAGGTTCAAAAAACACATTATTTTCC